TGACCTGCTGGGCTCCAGTGATCCTTCCACCTCAGCCTTCCAAGTAGCCGGAATTACAGGCATGCGCTACCATGCCCGGCTGATTTTTTGATTTATTGTAGAGATGAGGTCTCGCTGCCCAGGCGGGTCACGAACCCGCGGGCTCAGGCAATCCACCTTATGCTTTTTTTTAAAGCCATGGCTGGGAGTTCTGGCTGGACATGGTTATTCCTGGGGAGCTTTTATAAAGGTCTAGGTTTGCACCACCAGGCATCTACTGGGAAAGAACTGTGTGACCTGTGGCAATGACTTCACCTCTCTGAACTGAGTATCCTCTTCTTAAAATGAAGACAATGATACCATGCTCCCAGGGCTACTTGAGGAAGAAAGAGGGATATTTGATAGAGGACTGAGCACAATGCACGATGAATTTACCGTAAGTGTTAAAATACACGTGCTCCCAATCCACGTCGGCTGTCGTAGTGTGGCGGTCACGATCACCAAAGCCCCCCCTCGGTGGAAGGGCCCTCCCAGCAGCCCAGCCCAAGTCAACCAGCAGGACTCACAAACACAGTGGGGGAGCCGAGACGTCCAGATGGGAGTGCCCGTTTCGCGACTGTAGCAGGTCAGAAGAGAGCTCCCCTCGAGCACAAAACCGGGGTTGCAGGTGTATTGGATGGTGGTCCCCACCAGCAGCACAGGGTCCGAAATCAGGCGGGTGGAGTGCTCCACCTCTCCCGGGTCGGTGCAGTACATGACTACGTGGGACGAGATCAGACCACAAGGGGGCGTCAGAGCGCGCAAGGGGCACGGGCTTGCTGAGAATTACAGAATTCTCTAGACCCCTTCCTTCAGTTGTTTTCTCTTTGGGAAGATAATGCATCTTTTGCTCACTAGAGGTGGCTGGAGAATAGGCCAGGAGGAAATAGACTCGCCGTTAATGGTTCTTTTAGGCATTTGCCCAAATAATTTGCATCAGGACCCAAATACCTAAGTGTGGTGGTGAAAAAGAGGACCTGCAAATAAATCCTCTACCAGAAAATGCTTTAACAAGGGAGGAGATAAAGCTCATGGAATGGTCGTTCCACCAAGTCCTGAGCAACCACTAAAGAGGACAAAATGATGGGAAGCCTTCACAGCCTTCTTTGTAGTGCTTGAATGTAGTAAAACAAGCATCCATTAATTCTTAAATTAAAAAATCAATATAGATAAAAGGAAAACAATAAACCAATTAAACAAGAATAAAGTGGACACTCATGATATGAAAAGATATCTGTCTTTCTGAGTTGAAAAACAGAAAGCAGTTACAGGGCGTTTGTAAGAATGGGCCCCGACCAGGCATAGTGTCTCACGCCTATAATCCCAGCACTTTGGGAGGCTAAGGTGGGAGGACTGCTAGAGCCCAGGAGTTCAAGACCAGCCTGGGCAACAAAGCGAGACCTCATCTCTGTTTAAAAAAAATTCAGTAGTGAGAAACTGCCAGGGGAGAGGGGGTAGGATTGGCAGTTGAGGGAAACTGCCAGGAGGGAAGGGCACACCTCATCAACAAGGGTACCTGCATAATGAACATTTGTCTACCTAACCCTGAATTGGACCCCACATCTTTAAAGTAAAAAAAATACAAAATAAAAAGAAAATAGCAAGGCATGGTGGTGTGCGCCTGTTGTCTTAGCTACTCGGGAGACTAAGCTGGAAGGATCACCTAAACCCAGGAGGTCGAGGCTACAGTGGTGAGTTGTGATCATGCCACTGCACTCCAGTCTGGGCAACAGAGTGAGATCCTGACTCAAAGAAAAAAAAAGAATGGATTCGTTAATGGTTCAATATCTCTGCCTATAGCCTGTAAATGTACCCACACATACATATATGTCTGTGTGTAACATGTGATGTGTGTATGAATGTGTGTGTACACACAATTGGAAAAATATAGAATACACTTTTTTTTTAAGATTCAAGGGGTAGGCTGGGTGTGGTGGCTCAAGCCTGTAATCACAGCACTTTGGGAGGTGGAGGCAAGAGGATTGCCTGAGTCCAGGGGTACTGAGACCAGCCCAGTCAACTTGGTGAGGTCTCGCCTCTACAATAAATCAAAAAATTAGCTGGGCGTGGTAGTGGGTGCCTCTAGTTCTGGCTACTTGGAAGGCTGAGGAGGAAGGATCGCCTGAGCCCAGCAGGTCGAGGCTGCAGTGGCTGTGAGCAGCGAGCCACTGCACTCCAGCCTGGATGACAGAGTGAGACTCCGATTCAAAACAAACAAACAAAAAAAGATTCAAGGGGTACAAGTTCATGTTTGTTGCATGGGTATGTTGGATGGGGATTGGCCTTCCTTACCCATTATCCAGAGAATGAACATTGTATCCATTGTATCAGCCCTTGCCGCCTGCCCCCCATCCTCCTGCCTTTTGGAGTCCCCAGTGTCTCTCATCTCCGTCTTTGTGTCCATGTGCCCATTGTTTAGCTCCCACTTATGAGTGAGAGAAGGTGGTGTTTATTTTCTGTTTCTAAGTTAGGCCGTTTAGGGTAATGACCTCCAGGTCCATCCATGGTGCTGCAAAGGACATGATCTTATTCTTTTTTATGGTTGCATAGCGTTCCATGGTGTATACCGAGGGTGCCAAAAAATGTATACCCATTTTAAGAGATGCTGTCCCTGTATTACTTTTAGTTCGCCATAAGCAGAAGTGTCTGGATGCTGATGGTAACCACTTCGAGCTCCTCTTGTAACTGCAGAAATCAAGCGTGACTTGTATTCATCTTTTGTTATCTGTATATTCTTACAATTTGAATACAGTTTTTTTCTTTCCTAAAATGTGTATATATATATTTTTGGCACCCGCGGTATATACCACATTTTCTTTATCCAGCCAAGAACAAACTTTTAAAAGCAGCATCATTTTTAAAGAGTAAGTTCACAAAGGATTTTCACTTTCTGCTTTGTAATTTTACTACAGTTAAGTACTATAAGGCAGCATTGTTACCAACGTAATTTGAAGACATGGCTGTATACATCTCAATGTCAAGAGAGTAGTTTAGCCAATGAAAGGTGTTAATGACATTCAGTGACCTCTAGGGGAGACCCATTGTTCCAAGGGATTCTGCCGACCTCATTTTATCAGAAGAGAAAACAACAGAGGCAGTTTGGTGGTCTCCTCTGTCTTGGATGGAGAATGAGGGAGGGACCCAGCATGGGAACATGAACACCCATACATGGAAGGGGCCCTGTATGCATGCATTTGCTCTCATTTGGGCTTTGTCTTGGCAAAAATTGAGGCGGGTGAGAAGACTTCCTGGTTATGTCCCTTCTTTATTTTTTTTTAAGCCAGGGTCTCGCTGTCACTCAGGCTTATTGCAGCCTGGACCTCCTGTACTCAAGCAATCATCCCACCTCAGCCCTCCAAGGAGCTGGGACTACAAGCATATACCAACACGCCCAGCTAATTTTTTGATGTTTTGTAGAAATGAGGTCTCGCTATGTTGCCCAGGCTGGTCTCGAACTCCTAGGCTCAAGTGATCTTCCTGCCTTAGCCTCCCAAAGTGCTGGGATGACAGGTGTAAGTCACCACACCTGGCTGTTTGTCCCTTCTAATCCCTTAAAATGTTTAAGTAATAAATAACACTTCAATGAAGTGATGAGTCGTGCTCCTCCCTGTTTTAATTTGCTATCATCACACACACACACACACACACACACACACACACACACACACACACACACACCATATACTGTTGCAGACCACATAGAGCTGTTTACATAGCTAATTTTGTGACTCTTTGAGTTATTTCACATTTCTCACAATTATAATTAACTTTCTTTGGTGTTGAAGATTTGTGATAGGAACTGTAGGCAAACTTCATACCCCTTCCCTGACACTATCTTTTTCTTTTAACACTGAGCTTTCTTAGCACTTTCTTTTTTAAAAAAAATAACTTATTTATTTATTATGGAGTTGTGGGGGTACAAGTGAGGGTTTACTGCATGACTAGGCTACATCCAGGCGAAGTTTGGGCTTCTAGGTGGCCCTCACTTCCCTGGTAGTGGACCAGGTACCCTCTGTGTTGTCACGTGCCCCCGCCCTCCTCCCCCTTCCCTCCCCTCACAGTGTCCAGCAACTGTGGATCCCTCCCTGTGCTCGTGTGACCAATGTTCAGGGCCCACTTATGAGTGAGAACATGAGGGATTCAGTTCTTTGTTTTGTGATGGTTCATCAGTGTGATGGTCTCCAACTACAGACAAGTTGCTGCGAAGACTCTTTTCGGGCTGTGTAATACTCCATCATGTGTATGTTCTACATTTTCTTCCTCCAGTCCACATTCGATGGGCATCTGGGTTGGTTACATGTTTTTGCTATCGTGAATAGTACCCTGAGCATTTCTTATTGTGTGGGTGGTACTCAAGTCTCAGTGAACAGGTCTACCAAAGTAGCACCAAGAATTCCCTGCCAGAGGGCTGGGGACAGCAGCTTCATTCAGGAGGTGGGAAGCAATAGCTGGGGGAAGAACCCTTCCAAATCTGGCTCTTTCCCCTCTAGTAAGCCATCAGTGTAGAAACCAGAAGCACTCCCTTTGCCTGCTGCTTTTTAAGACACCAGGCTCAGCAACTGCCAAGTAGCTGGCTCACACTTCTGGGGGAGGAGAAACAGAGAGCGGGCAGAAGGGACCAGGAAGCTGGGGTGATGCTCTCTGAAGGAGAGACCTGTTTTAGGGGTTTAGAATTGGGGGGTCCCAAATTTGTCTTGTTTTGCTTGGCTACTATAGGTATTTTAAAAATCTAAATTTGAATGTTGTTTTTATTCAGGCTACATACACTCCCATTCACTGCAGTCCACACCACTCCCTATTGTCTCACACCTAGTTTATTTCATTCATTTACATTACCTGTGAGACTTCTGAATGCACCTATGCCTGAGATCACCTTGGGGGTTACAAAATGATATTTGTGAGCAACATCAATGAATCGGTAGCGAGGGTGGGGGAAGCCAGACACTGCATCAAACAACCTCCCTTCATCCATCTATAAAATACTCCTGGGAGGAATTTGCCTCAGGTACCTAGAGAAAGGAAACAACTCTTACTTTTCTCACAAAATGGGGGGTCGCTGCTCCAGCTGAGGTCCCACTGGCAGGTGAGGGTGTCGCTCCCTACGATGTCATAGCCGGGGTCACACTGGTAGGTGATTCTGGCCCCCCTCACAAGCTCCGTGTGAGAAGTGGTTTTCCAGCCATTCTGGATCTCGGGCAAATCTGAGCAGGAGTCATTCCTTGACACCTCTTTAAAAAACAAACAAACAGATACCATCCTTAGATGGAGAGGTGGGCTTTTGGTTTAGCTGTTCCTTTATGAATGCTAGAAGAAAAAGCAAGTAGATGAAAAAGCCTCCAGAAATAGGTAACATACTTCTGCAGTCCCTTAAATGGCCCAGAACTCTTCTCTGGTGAGGTTACACAGCTACCTCTCTCTATAGGCCACTGAACATACCACACATTCTCTTGGTTTCACAGAACCCATTCAGGATGGAGAGTCAGATAGAATGCAAACTCTGCCAGTTCCAGCAGTGTGGGACTGCAGTTCCTCATCCTTCATGAGGGAATCATCCTAACCCTGCGGACTCACGGTGGTAGTTGCTTGCACGCTGTCCCCAGTAACTCTCACCTCCTGAATTTACACTCTTGTGTGGTCCCCGCAGGCGCTCGCAGAAGTGACGCTGGGTGGCTTGCAAGGCCAGATGGTAAACAACATCGAAGCTCTCTCCTGCTCCCTCTCTGATTCCTTGGTCTGGAGGAAGCAGCTGCCATGTTGTAAGGAGGCTCAAGCAGTTGCAAGGAGGCTCAAGCAGCTCTCTTGAGAGGTCCTTTCTTTTTTTTTCTTTTTGAGTCAGAGTCTCACTCCGTGGTCCAGGCTGGAGTGCAGTGGCAACATCATGGTTCACCACAGCCTCCACCTCCTGGGCTCAAGTGATCCTCCTGCCTCAACTTCCTGAGTGGCTGGGACTACAGGCGTGCACTGCTGCACTCAACTAATTTTTAATTTTTTTTTCTCACTGTGTTGCTCAGGTTGGCCTTGAACACCTGGCTTCAAGCGATGCTTCTGCCTTGGCCTCCCAAAGTGCTGGGATTACAAGTGTGAGCCACCACGCCTGGCCTTGGAGAGATCTTTGTAGAGAGAAACTGAGACCTACTGTCAACAATTGACATTGCCTTGCCAGCTGCATGTGTGAGCCATTTGGAAGCTGTCCTCCGGCACCAGTCAGAGAGCTTCAGATGTCTGCAGCCCAGCCTGACATCTTGACTGCAACCTCATGAGAGACCCCAGGACACAACCACCCAGCAAGTACTGCTCCTGAATTCCTGGCCCCCAGAAACTGTGAGATAATACATGTTTATTGCTAGTTTGGGTGTAATTTATGACACGGTAATAGGTAACTAATGCACTCAGCCTCATTTTTAGTCTCTATAGATCCACAGATTTGGTGAATTCGTAATATATGCAATTTAATACACAATAAGATAAACATTTTTTTTGAGTTGTGCTCTTACTCTGTTGTCCAGGTTGGAGCATAGTGGCACAGTCACACCTCACCACAGCCTTGACCTCTTAGGCTCGTGATCCTCCTACCTCAGCCTCCAAAGTAGCTGGGACTACAGGCACACACCACCACACCCAGCTAATTTTTTAATGTTTTGTAGAGATGAGGTCTCACTCTGTTGCCTAAGCAGGTCTCAAGCCCTTGGGTTCAAGCAGTCTTCCTGCTTCAGCCTCCCAAAGTGCTGAGATTACAGGTGTGAGCCACCGTACCAGGCCAAGATAGTTATCCATAAAAATAATTGTGGATGCATTCTGCAGATCACATTGATATCATCAGGGCACATCAACCATACTCCAGAAGGTGCTTCCTGCAGCCTATCACCGAGTTTTTCCCTGGAATAATTCTGTGTCCCTCCTACAGACTCTTGTTACTAAGGTAGCAATCCAAAGCCCACTATTACTATTCTTGCTTCCAAGTGCCCACTGCACAGATTTGGAGGAGAGAGCTAATTATGTTGTATAATTAATTTGCCATTCTTATGTGCTTCTGGGGAAAGCAAAGCACCTCCACTGTCTGCAGGAAAGTCATTCTGAGAAGCAGGCAATGGCTTTTCCTGGGATTTCATCACGATTTTTATTTGAGGAAAGGAGATCTCATGGGTGTCTGCAAGAAGAAGGGGTAGGGAAATGGTTTCTAGCATTGGTTGGTGGGGGACAGGGGCCTCTATTTTTAGACTTTTGAAAAATCAGCCAAGCCCTGGATTTGGGACCCAGCTGCAAAAGCGTTCAGACGAGGGAGGAAGGGGGGGATGGGAGCAAACACTGGAAATATGGTCTGCCTGTGCCCAGTGCGCTAAGACCAAGAAAGGTTTGCATGTCTGACTTCTCAATTTGAACCGAGTTGGCTGCACACTCCCATGATACCTCCTGTCTCCTTTGTGGCACTCGTAGTATTTGTAATTACTCAGTTGCTGCCACCGTGTCACACAGACTTGGCTTCAATCTTGTCCCCACTGTTTGCTAATGGGGTGGCCTTGGCTAAGTCACTTAGCCTTCCTGCTCTTCAGTTCTCTGACTGTACTCCGGAGACCCTGATGCAGGAACCTGCATTTTTGCCAAGCACCATAAGGGGAGGTCCTGAAAAGATCTGGCCATGAAGGTTCAGAGTCTATGGGAGGCTCTGGCTGCAGCCATAGCAGGTAAACCTCAGCTACTTTACAGAGCTGAGTTTAGGCCTGTAGGTCAATATAGGAGCTTCAGAATTCTCTAGATGACAACAGAAACCCCTTACCCTGCCATCTGATTCCTCCACGGAATGGGAGTTGCATCTATATATGATAAAATCTAGACCCAAGATAGCAAATACTTCTCCTGTGCCCATGGCAGGCATCACTAATCAGTCATGGTGTTTTTTTCCCTGTTGACATCAGGCATGAATTCTCTGAGTTCTTTTCTACATAGTCTTCAACATAAGTAGTCACAAAGAATTGATTGGCATCAAGATGAAATGCAGCGGTCCACTTGCCATCCTTGTAAAACTAACTGCATGTTTCTCTAACAGAAATAACAAATGGGAATTGCTCTCTCTTTTTTCATTACCTGGATTAGCTAGGCCATGTATCCCTGGGAAGCATTCTCTGTGGTCCTGCCTTTACTCCTCCCACACATCAGCAGGTCTCCTGACAGTGTCTGCCATGGCACTGCCTTGCCTATTTCCCTAGCAGGCTCAAGGGTGGGAGTGGAGTCTGTTCATTCCTATATCCTGGAGGCTAGGGCAGAGCCTTGCATAAAGAAGATATCAAGAGATTTTTTGTGAACCAAACTCTCTGGAAAATGGAGAGGATGCATTTGAAGACGAAAGAAAGTAACATTGCAAAAGTGCTTGCCAGCTGTAAATTGCCACATAAATCTAAGTTTCAAGTTCAGTGAACAAGAATACCTCTTCTTCAAGATGCTGCCAAATGGACCACTGGCCAGACCTTCTGGTTAACCTTGATCAGCCTTGGGTAGAGTCGGATTTTTGCCATCAAGCTGAATGACGTTTAGGAAGATGGACATCTTTCAGCAGAGAGGAAGGGGACGTCTAAGGGGAGAGACTGAAGCCAAGCCACCAGAAACGCCCCCTCCCCCAAAGGCAGGAGACTCTGGATGGCACATCACCTGGACAGCCATGATGAATTATGCCCTGAAGCCCAGGATACTGCCCAGGAAAGAGTGGGGAACCCATGGAAAACAGTAGCAATAACACTCTGAAGATATTTAGCAGCACAATCAAAGGGAAAAAGGCCCCTGAGAAACATAAAAAAGAAGATCAATACTTGTGTTAGCCTCTTGGAGAGGTGGACATGTAGCAGGCAGGGATGAAAAATGTTCACCAGCTGGAAATAAAAAAGCAAGACTTCAGCCTGGCTGTGTGTGATGGCTCATACCTGTAATCCTAGCACTATGGGAGGTCGAGGCAGGAGGATTGCTTGAGCCTAGGAGTTTGAGACAGCCTGGACAATACAGTGAGACCGTGTCTCTATAAAAAATAAAAAATTTAGCTGAGCATGGTAGTGTGCACCTGTAGTCCCAGCTACTTGGGAGGCTGAGGCAGAAGGATCGCCTGAACTCAGGAGGTTGAGGTTGCAGCGAGCCATGATCAGGCCACTGCACTCCAGCCTGGGCAACTCAAAAACAAAAACAAAGACAAAACAAGAACCATGGTGCTGGATGAAGGCATGGAAGGAGTGAACCAGGAGATAGAGGAGGACACAGCCTGGGACCCTCCAGGGGTGAACGTTGAGCAGGGCTGGGTGGTGGAGCTAACGGCGAATGAGAGGGAGTCCCAGGATGGGGGCTGAGCACAGAAGGGTGAGGGTGGGTGAAGGCGTGAGCAGGGGTATGGCAGTGCGGGCACCCAGCTTGAATTGAATAGCAGGTCTTTTTTGTTGTTGTGGTTTGCCTGTTTTGTTTTAAGATGAGCAGGAGAGAAATGGTTTTGCAGCCACACTGAGGATCAAGAAGGACATCTCTTGCATCTATAGGTCCTGAAGTATGTGAGGTGGGAGAGAAAAAAGGTTCCTGCTCATGGGGCTACTGGGAAAAATAGGTTTTTAGAGGAGAGCTGAGCTTCCATTCAGGCAAGAGGCGAGGAGTGTGCGAATGATATAGACAAACTCTCAGCTGACCACAAAGGAAACACAACGAAGCATAAGTTACAAGGTGTGGTCTACTCAATCCTGGTGTCGACTCTGTGGTGTAGGCGTGACTATGCCCATGCTACAGATGACAGAAAAGAAGGCTCAGAGGGGGTCATGACGTGTCTGAGGTCACAAAAACATCGATGACAGCATTAGGACTCGAACTCTGCTCCTCCTGACCAGAAAGCCCAGGCTCTTAACAACTATAGACATTAACTACACGAATATATTAGAAGACAAGTACAGCACAAAACCTCCAGACAGACATATCTAGAAGAAGCCATCTTCGCCTGCATCTGAACACATACAAAAACATTGTCCAGATGAGACACTCACCTATGTAGTTCATGATGAATCCCTGGCCCTTGCCAAAGATGAGGCCGGCCGGGTCAGAGTGGAACTGGATGGTCAGGTCTGGCGTGGAGGAGTATAGCTTCTGGGGGCCGCTGTTCCCCAGGTACTGCCCCAGGACGTGGGGTGTGGTCTCGTCGCCATCGTAGATGGTCAAGATGTCGCTACTGCTCAAGTTCAGGCTTGGAGGGCAGAGAGAAGAGGGAGAGTCACATGAAACCAGGCTGCCCGTTGAAGCTGGACTGGATAAAGAAAATGTGGTACATAGACACAATGGAATATTACACAGCCACAAAGAAGGACAAACACATGGACTTTGCAGCAGCTTGGATGGATTTAGAGTTGATCATACTCAGTGATCTATCACAGAAACAAAGAACAGAGTGCCATATGT